AATGAATACGAGCGTCAGGAACGGTCGTCCGTTTGTGGGCGGGCGGGCGAGGAAGGCGTTTGGGACGGAATGTTGTTGCTCGATAGGGCGTTATAGGGGTACCCTCCTTGGAAAAGGCGCCACGGAGCGCCTGTCCGAGGTCACGGAATTCTGTTAAGCCAGTCGTATAAATCCTACATCTGTATAGCGATTTATCGTGCCAACTGCCTTTAGTGTTATAGCCTTTTGTAGGTGAGTGGTATGATGACTTGCCTGAGCTTGTCTTCACCTTTCCAGACGGGTGCTGAACCAATTAACTGACTCCGGAAAAGCGCAAGTGTTGGTTGTACTACGCAGGTTTCGGTCTAGGAATAGGTCCCAGCACTATGGCCTATCTCCGGGTCCCGCTACTCAGTGCCACCACAATTTCCGTTCCATGAAGTTCTGGTCAGTTGGAGAAAGAGAAATTAGAAACTGCAGCTTTCCGGAGCTGGCTACGTGCAATGATCGGATGCAAAGCACACAACTTTTTCTTCCCATTTGCCCTTTAGGTTATCTTATGTGGTCTCATTACTTGGCAACAGGGTACAGCATCGTGATGTGTGAAGTGGTGGTGTAGGTACGACCCCCCTCCCTTTGAGAGAGGGTGTCAGTACGACCCCCAACTACCTAAATGAGGGTCGGTCTCGGTACGACCCCTTCTGCCCCGGCTCCTACTTGCAAATCTCCTATACCCCTTTCCAGTTTTTTCACCCAAAAAATTTCCGTCGAGCGGGCGTAGGGGGTATACAGCCTAGTGGAACGGGAGAATTTTCCCAGCTTCCTACCACTTCTTCCTAATTTTCCGTGAATTTTCCTACTTCTTCTCCAAAATTTTGCTGTCGAGCGGGGGGAGGGGGAGGGGAGGGGTATATAGTGCACATGAAACAGGAAAAATCACGCAAAAAGTCAACAACCGGAAAACCAACGCGACAAATTTTCTCTCAAGGCACATACGACCCCCCTAACGACCAAGTACGACACCCCCAGGGAGAAGTTCGACCCCCCTATGAATTCACACAACGATGCTTTACCCTGAAAGGCGACCTCTGGTGTTTTAGGAACAGTCGTCGTGAGCGCTGCCAACGCCGAGATAAAGAAGGCTGAAATGAAACTCTCACTGAAGAAGAACTCGGTCTTCATTGGAACTGTCTGCGAAAATGGTGTCAACACTGTCCTAAAGAAAGCGACTTGATATGATATGTAGATATGTTGGCTGCTTGGAATTTAAATTCCTCCCACCGACCATGTAAGGTACATAACAACCAACACACATGTTTATATCAGTAGCCCTTGAGCGCCGTGCCTACAGAATCAGAGTATTCCCTAGCTAGTGACTTGTCACAATGGAGCAAAGGCACGTTGGACCTGTTAGTCCAGATGCGAAAATAGCCCCTTAGCGATTCGGGAATAACGGTGAACGGTGTGCCCCTGGAAAATGTATGAGGAGCCAGGAAGTGACGAGGAGATCCGAGTTGGGTCCTTCTCTCAGTATACCTGGAAAGTAGAAGTGAGATGAAGAGATGCGCAGAAGAGCAGATGATTGATATGACCAAAAACACAGCTCCGAAGAGCTCAGCTTATTCATAGACTAGCGCAGGATAATTAGCAAAAGAGCACAGACGAATACTCAGACAGTGA